CTAGGTTAATTTATTATTTGAATTGGGTTTGAATTAGCAACGTAATATGTATTCTTATATATGTAATGTTAACATTGCTTAATCGGTGCATATGCAGTGTAGTGGCATTTCTTTGCAAAATTATACTATAATTTAGAGAATTAAGCATCGGGTAATATAATCTATATTGAGTATAGCCGTAATTAAATCAAGCAAGCGTGAAACCTGCCCGCGTTCACAGATTACTAGTTAGCTATTGCAGTTAGTAAACACGGGTAGAGTTCAGGTATGGCAGCCATTGTTGCGCATTTGAAAGGCCGATTCAGAATTCTTTCCATCTTCATCATATCATCCACATCATTCAATTCATTTCAAACTTTCCATCGTCAACATATTGGTTTTGCGCCATTTTGCTCTATTTGTGGAGTAAACTATATAGTCGAAGAGGATGCGTGCTGCTGAAAATGTTATTAGTTATTATAGTGTATGAGATGTGTTGATAGGAGAATGCACGGAATCGGTGAATGGCATCCCTCAACAGTCGGGTTTTCTTCCTCACACGTGGCACTTTAAAATCGGCGAGACTCCTATACCCTGTCAATCTGCACTTTTCTCCTAGTGCGATAAGCACATTGACAGTGTTCTGTGATGTGTGTGTGTGTGTGTGTGTGTGGTTCATCCTGCAGCCTGGCTTGTCGGGATGTTTACCTTCACTCTGGCTGTCGTACAGTGTGTACGTAAACATATGGTAGACGCTATATGCCGAGCGCAAAGTCCGAATGGAACAAAGTAACTAATAAATTAACTGCTTGTAAATGAGAACGTACAGGATTGCTCGATCCGCAAGTGAGGTAATCATGCCACGCTTGGATATCGATGATAGGTAGGTCAACTCACACACGTCTGTACGTGTTTTTCACACGCGCACGCGAAATTGTTGACTTGGTGGCAATTCGCTGCTAAGCAGCGATTTAGAAAGTCCCTATCGCGACACTCATTGGCTAGAGCTATCTGTCATCACGTGCATAATGTTACATAAATTCCATAGGTGCTAAATGGAAAAAATATTTTTATATATTTTACTGAGTATCATGTAAATATGATTTGCTGAGATATTATAATAAAGGTGTTAATCGTTATTCAATAACGTATGCGATATTTGGTGATTATTTTTTGCCTCCCCCCCCCTCTATATATCCATCCATCCATCCATCCATCCATCCATCCATCCATCCATCCATCCATCCATCCATCCATCCATCCATCCATCCATCCATCCATCTACCTACCTACCTATCTAGCTAGCTAGCTATATACCTGTTTCTCTATCTCTCTCCTCGTCTCTCTATTCATAATCTTGTCTCTCTGTCCCCCTCTCTCTCGGCGTGTGTGGTGTGGGAGTGCGTGCAGTCGTGCGTGCGTGCGTGCGTGGGTGTCTCGCATCCCTCTCCCACTCTATCCTCCCTATTCGGTTCTATTTTTCTCTACTCCTGTCTATAGAATTTAAGGCAGCGTTCCTGAGGACGTTCTATAGTTCTGATATCCATAATGTCGAATATTCAAACATAATTAAAGCCTACATGTCTATAAATAGAGCGCAAGATAGATGTATAGATCGCTAAGTTGCAGAGCATGGTTACCGATTATCGCACCAGACTACATCTCATGCAGTACGAGGTTATGTTTGATGTACTTTGATCTATGTATATGAGTCAGGGGAGATATCTGCCTTAAATATCGACGCGGTGGGATCCGGTACAAGTTGATGATAATGGCAGTCGACTAGATAACTATGAATCTTCACACCAAATTAGTCGGCTATGTTTAGAGTCATAGAATTTACCAGTCTAATTTAAACGAGTAAAGGTTAGTTCAGTTCTATCATACGTCGTTCTTAACACACGTACCACGGACCACAGAGGCGGGGAGAGATTGAGAGAAGAGCCGAAAACACACAGAGGTACCTTGCGTTATATTCTATAATAGCCTATTATATATACTAGTTAGTATTTGTTTACATAGAGGTGTCTGTGTGTTCGTGGGTGTATGCGCGCAGCGCAATGCATGCTTATATAAAGCTCACGTTCCCTAATTTTTCTCCTATTGCATGTACGCATTTCTTTTTTTCGGCTTACCCTGTAACCCTAACCTGTCCTAGCTTCCATGACATTTTCCAAATATCTGCAATGTATTCATTCCGATAACATCTTCCTCTCCCGCCCCCTCTCTCTCTTGCTGCGTTATCTGTATCTGTATCTTCCTATCTCTGTAATCGTCTCACTATCTCAAGATAAAATAGAGAGTGCATACGCGAGAAGGGAAAATAGAGAGACAAGGAAGAAGTGGGCGAGAGAGAGAGAGAGAGAGAGAGAGAGAGGAGAGAAGAGAGAGAGAGAGAGAGGGAGAGAGAGACGGGAGAGTAGAGAGAGAGCAGAGAAGGAGAAGAGCAGAGAGAGAGAGAGAGAGAGAGAGAGAGCGTGACAGACATACACATAGAAAGTGAGTAGGGGTAACAGCTAAAAAAGTTCCCAGCGCGAACTGAGATGTTATTCTCGAATCACAATTAAAACAACATTACAGTAACAACGGGTGTGAACACTGATCTATATTATACTAACTACTATTATATTCGTATAATAGAGATCAGTGGTGTGAACCCTCAGGATCAACACTATAATGTCATCATGGATACAGCATGATTCAGTGGCCCCTTGTCAAGGAGGACTATCATGAGCCTATAATATCACCTCTTTTGTCCGAGAGGCCCCAAAATCCCAAATTACCCTTTATGGCACTAGTAACAGGTTTGAAAAATATAATCGAAAATATATAATCGACTCGGGTACGGCGGGAGTGGGTGCCCCCCTTAAAAAATTTAAACCCTGTCAGACTGGGCGGTTCGTGGCACGCGTGCGCGAATCCTGGTCACGCGTGACAGATAGATGGAATGGCCCACAATATTTCGTTGGTTAAAAACACAGCCAACTATGTGGATAGTACTGTGCCCAGGGTCAAGGCGTTTAATTGCGCTCCGCCGCACCGACCAAACCAACTGCGGTAATTTTTCTGGACCGTGTACCCTTCCTGGTTCCATGATGGCTCAACAGCGTGGAATCGGCGGGAGCTCGGTATTCCTGCGCTGCCGCATCTTTTCGAACACCGACGGCTGCGTCGTCTCTCTTCCTCCGCCTGTCCGGGTGAAGGCGAGCCCAGAGTTCCGGCGCCTAGGGGGCAGTATTCGGCGAGGGATCTCCCAACAAGTCCTTCCCACCCTGCCATTCCTCGTGGTCTGCTTAGCGGAAGCGTTAGGCATGCGGTCTCCCCTCGTGTCTCCTCTCGTTCTCTCCACTCGTTGGCCCGTTCGCTCTCTCTCTCTCTCTGAAGCTTCTCTCCGCTCAGTTGCTGGAGGGTAGCCTCGCCACGAGGCCTCCTCCTCTTGCTTCCTCCTCTCGAGCTGTTGTGCTGCGGCTTCTCCCTTCTTTGAGGTGGCCTGCAAGCGATGCAGCGCTCTCGGCGGCCGCTGTCGCGTACAGGTGGCTGTCTGCCATGGGTTCGGCGCGTGCTATCGGGTGCTGCCTGGTCGGTTGAAAAGCCGGTACAGTGCTTCCCATGTCGGTGCCTTTTGTCCTGGTCGCATGGCTGTTTGTTGTGTTGCTTGTTGTTGTTGTTGTTGTCGTTGCTGTCTCCGTTCGAATTCTGGAATAATCAGAAGACGTGGTTAACGTGGAACACGTAATTGTTTGTTGTTATGCCGGCTGTCGATCATGTGGCGTCGTTAACTGTCCTCTCGGCGGCAGTGCGTCGTTGGGGACACGCGTCACTATCGGGTTCATTGTTATCGGCACCAGTGGACGAGTGATTTACATATCCGTCTTTGCCGTACGTGCCGGTGGAAGAGCATGGGATCGGGCCTCGAAGGAGCGCGGCTCCGTTTCGTGGGAACTATCACGTAGGTGGGGGGTCGGGGTGTGGGGGTGGCGGCTGCCGGCGAGTAGGCGGGTAGATGAATGGGTATGGTCGCGTAGGTGGGGGTGGGGGTTGTCGGGGGTGACCGTAATGGTATGTCCATCATCTCGATTTCCGCTTTTCGATTTTCATTTACGGGTGTTGGGTCGCGTGGGAGTGCCGCCCTTTGTACCCTGCCTGCTCTGAAGGTCACTGGGATTGTAGGCTGAAACCGCTGCCATAAACCCCTCTTATAACATCGAAAGTAGCAAACTAGCGCGATTCCCGCCATAATTATTATCCCTGCCAGAATCCCGTATACTGCCGAGTGGTGCGTGTTGACATGATAATCTGCCGTGTCCCAATGATCGTACGCAGTTCCCTGTGATGCGATTTGCTTCCCTCGTTCGACTGCTGCTACTAGGTCAGTAAATGAAACATCGAGATCTGCATCTGCATACAGTTGTGGAGGAACTACCGCCGTCGGAATGAGTGCCGTGGAATTTATAACTATGCCGTTGTGTACCTCGTACAGCTGTTTCCAAATTTGCGGGATCTGTCTAATGATCTCGGGTAGGGCTTGTGCTGGAGCGCTGCCGGACACGTTGGTTTCGTGAAAAAAATATGGGGGTAACGTAAAAGCTGCCGCATCCGCCTTGCAACCCGATCGTAACTGAATAAGCTTTTGTCTCTCTATCGTTAGTTCTGTGACTTTGATTTGCGCCGTAGAATGTGCTTGACATGATATAACAATTTTAAACGGCGCTGGCGCGGAGATTAGCCATTTACCGTTCGCTATATACCTGGCCTGTGGGTCGGGTTTCCGATAGAAAACAACACGCTTGTGACACAATGTTTGAATTTGATTAACGTCGTTTTGATACAAAGCGATTGCGCATGAATTTATTGCTGTTGCCGGGAAGATAGGAGAGTATACGTCGCAGATTACACGGTGTTGTTGTAAGCATGATTGTAGTCTAAGTGCGTCCGGATATATGTATACTGATCGGTCTAGACTAATCCCGATATACCTATTGTTCGTTTCGTAATATGCAGCTGT